CTGAGCATCACACTTGGCGTGCTTGTTTATAGGTACCGTCACGCATGTGTGACAACTAAACACCTACAAATTAAAATGCAGTGATTTCTCGCCAGCCTAGACTTGATGTGGCGACTTGTATTGATTTGTGGCACGTGATGTACATCGGTTGCGGAGGTTATTTCACATAAACTACACTCTTCGCCGTTCTCATGCAAAGTAGTCTGACTTTGTTGCCAGTCTGAGTGTTCGTAAGTGCAACATGTTCGACAAACTCGTCAGCCATTTCCGACTCATTCTGTAGCAAGAACACTACACTTATTATAATGTGAAAACTCTTTAATGAACGTGTAAAAGTATCTGCTGCCACCGCACATAGCTGCTTATTTAGGATCGCAGACTTCGATGTAGATGACTTCTAGCTCCTTATTTGCACGCTCTGAAGACTTGGCCAGAAGTTCACTAGCGTTTGTATACCAAGGGCACACCCATCAAAAGTTCCCCAATGATGCACAAACTTCATCTAAATGTCGATGTCGTACACTTCTTGACAATGGAGTCCAGACCGCCATGGCTAATGTTACCAAGTCAAAGATGACAGAGGTACGAACTGGTGATCCCATTATAACGGTTGAAATTGAAACTCTCGCCTCGTCTTGCATGAGCGGAGTCATGTATAACTTACATAATCTTTCTTGCCCGTACACAGCTGCCATTTTATACCCTTCACCTAAACAAAGCACTCGCCACCCTCAGTTATGATAAAGTGAATATCCTTCGTTAAACTCCCCACAGAGAGCAGGTTGAGCATCAACTTGGCAATTTGCCACACTCCAACAAGCACACCTTTCGTGACTCCACGTTGGGTCCTCATCTACATGTTGACGTCACCTTTCCCCACTGCTTGCCAAAATGCACGTCAATTGGTGAGATATTCTGGTAATTTTTCATCCACAATTTGAGCACGTCATGTGCTGAGTCGTACCTTAGTCAACCATCCACTCTTCACTCAACTCATTGTCATTTCCCTTAATTGAAAATAGGAAGTCGCCAAAGTCATTCTTAGTCCATGCGACGCTTAATATTTGCATCTTGTGCCTCTCCGCATTACCACGCATTGTCTTCGCACACTTAAAATTCTCATTTTCTTGCTCAGAACTGTAGTGACATGCACTGGGCTTCTGCATTGGCCTCCCTCCTCTCTCTTGCTGCGATCGTTTGCAATAAACGCTTGTTTAGTCGTACACGGATCCATAGACGCCGCTACCTTGTTCCTTGCACTACATACCTTCATTTATCAGACAAGACTTCATGAGTTCCCAATACATCAATTCAACACGTCAATTTTAACGCCTCCATAATGACCTGAAACGACTCGCTTAGGCTAACAATACGCGTTATTACCAAGTCGTCCTCGCTGGACGTATCTCCTACTGCATCGGACTGCTCCTACGGAAAGGTTGAGCTTGTGGATGTCCTCCGGGATGCTATCATCTTCATCCATTATCGTCCTGTAAAAGTGTTGACGAAGAAAGAGCTTATCCTCCAGACTCTTCTCATCGTATTTTTGTTCCAGTCGTGACCATGCGTCTTTACATCTAATCACCTAAGGAACCAGCGGCAGCTGAAAATTTTCCATTACGAGACAAATTTTCGCGAGCGCCCACATAATCGTACTTATCTATGTGTCTGTGCGTGTCTGTAGAAAACGCGGATAGGTACAGTTCTTGTAATGAGTGCGACATAGCCTGTCCTGTAACGAAGTAGCCCGAAACGTGAAGTTGACACCAAACGGTGTCAATTGGAATATTGTCTAGCATGACAATATTCTACCAATATTATCCGAGATGGATAATATTGAAGGAATGTCACCCTCTTTTGGATACTGTTCATGCGCTGCTCCAAGATTGGTTGATATAAGACATGTCAACCGTAGATTGCCACCAATCGCTGCTAGACGCGCGCAATGAGTGGTGAGCAGGTTGTCGTCATACGACGGCGTAGTTTAGTAGAGTTAGATAAAGATTAAAGTTATCTTGATAGCTTAACTATATTAAGTACAGTTCTCTTTTTACCTTTACTTGACCGAGTCGTTCAAGTAGATTAGCTTCCTCTGCACGTACTAGTGTACGTGAAGTTTCGCGGCACCCCAAAAAAAAGTGCCCCGTTACACCTGGTAGCACTTCGTAGTCCGTCCAGCGACTGCTTCGTGTCCGTCCAACATGAACATGTTGGACGTAGAAGACGACATCTTTCACGTCACACATGAAGGCTACTCCCACCTGAGTGACTCAGAATGGGAGGTAGTCGGCCGCATGAGTGTGATCATGGGCGGACCCGCCATCAGTGGTATGTTGGAGTCTCTAAGCAGAGACCAGCAACATGCTGCTATCAACAAGTTCCTACAAGGGGAACTTGCCGTCGAACGACAGAAGATAGCCTTGCTACAGCAGCAAGGCTCTCATCAGTCTATGGGCGGGCCGACGCACTTGCGTCGACCCGAAACCTTAAAGATTTATATCTCGAGGTTCAAGGGAACCGATGAAGATTCCCTTTTGAGATGGTTCGTCGAGCTAGACGATGCCATCAGGGCCCGTCACATCGAGGGTGACGAGATGCAAGTCACCCTCGCCCTATCAACTTTGACGGGACGAGCAAAGGTTTGGGCCTTAGGGCTCAAGCTTCACGACCCAAACGTGTTTGAGTCGTTAGAGATCTTGATGTCTCGGATTAAAGAGACGTTTGAGCCGCCGAGAGCCGAGTCCAGAGCACGCTCTGCACTCTTGAGGCTAAATCAAGGTAAGCGTGACGTGCACGCTTACGCACATCAACTGCTCTACCTGCGAGTAGCGTTGCGGAAACCCTGTTGATGAGCACACGCTCATCAACGTGTTCATCTACGGCCTTGTAGAGGGGCCGGTGAAGACCTACATGTTCCAAGAGGACTTCCATACGCTGGAAAGGGAGATAACGTATGAGAAACAATAAGACTTCAGCCTGAGACATTCTCAGGCTAACTCGTCCAACTATCGTCCGACGAGGCGACAGGAAATAGGAGGTCCCGAACCAATGGACCTCTGTTACATCGAGAGCGAGAAACCTCGCTCTCTGAGTCACAAGTGAACGGCAAGATGCCATCGCTGTCAGAAGATTGGACACTACGCTCATGAGTGTAGTGTCCCGAGCACTGCGACACGTCCGAAAACAGGACGTGATGACCGCCGTTGTCCAAGGAAAGGTCCGAGGCGTGGGTCCGACCATTTTGCCAAGCCGCGACAGCAAGTCGGACCGTCAAAAACGGTCAGGGTCAGTAGTGGCGGAGCACCCTGCTGATTCAGCAACGTCAAGAGTATCTGCAGGACTCTTGACGAAGATTGCTCCCAACACACAGTCGCTGTGTGCTACTGCCCCTAGTGATGAGGTGTCCCTCATCACTTTGAAGATCGAAGTGACAAGTCGTATGTCACTTCGCGCCCTAGTTGACTGTGAGGCGTCGAACAGTTTTATTCGACGCCAGTCACTAAAGGATAGTAGGCTCAACTATGTTGAGCGAGAGTTCCCTCCAACGAGGATGACGGTGTGTCATGCTACAGGCGCATATGTAACAGTGAACAAACGTGTAGTGGGAATCCACTACACGCTAGAAGGAAATCAGATTGATAATGACTCCATCGTACTAGATTTGGATGACAAATTTGATGTCATCCTCGGTCTGCCATGGCTTAGAAATACCAGCCATGTATTAGCTGGTAGCGTCGATCCGTGAAGATTCCTACCGTTTGTTCATCAGATGGCCCTCTGGTGAACGTCTTGGAGCGCCCACAAGCGTGTGGATGTGCTATGATTGAGTGCGATGGCCTCAATTGTGGAACGGTCGTAAGTACGACTGCACAAGATCACAGTGTAGAAGGCCACTACACTGTGGAACCGGCTTCCGGCACCTGTGTAGAGACACAGGCTGCAACGAATGTTCACCACTCGAAGAGATCGAGTGAACTAGAGCACGGCTGTATACCAAGAAGGGTGCATCCGAGAAGAGAGAGTAGTGTTGTTCAGGATGAACAACACGTTGAAGCTAGATCGACTAATAGAGAGTCGATCGTAGAGCAAGCCCGCTCGACTGAAAGAGAGTCGATCGAAGAGAACGCGACCGTGATAGTACACGTAACGGAAGAAAATTCATGCGTTCCTGAGAGAAATAACTCCCGAGATAGTTATGCTGAGGGTGTGGATCCCCAACCACCTGCGGATGCGTTTTCCAAGGAAATCACCGAGACAGTGAATGTCTTGGTGAATGACGGATCAAGTGTAGGCACTTATACAATTGATATGGTTACACCTTCGAAGTCAGATTCGGAGGTAGTCAAGCTGCCAACGCTAGAATCTAAAGATTCTTGCGAGATCTGCGTAGTGACAAGATCAAGCAGATCTGCGTACTCGTCACAGAGGACGAGTACGTCGCCGATATTCGGTCGGCACAAGTGTTTGCTGAGATCGAACGGGTTCTCAGTAGTTCATCGATGGACGAGAGGGCCCTCGATGAGAAGACCCGGATTGAGCGATGGATGAGAGTGTCCTCGATGCGAAGACCCGGATTTGAGCGGTACACGTCTCAATCTTGGGAGTATTTGAAGACAAATCCTTTGTAAAAGGATTTGATCGAACTCAGGGATGTTTTCCCTGAAACCATGCCATGCGATCTGCCCAAGGACAAAGGCACTCGGCATGAGATCGAGCTGAAACCTGGTTCGAAATAATGTGTCATGAAGCAGTGGCCACTGCCTCGTGAACAGGTCACAGCGATCGACAAATTCTTTGCCGATCGTTTAGCGGCTGGTCATGTGAAGGAATCAAGATCCCCACACATCTCTCCGACCCTCTGTGTGCGAAAAGCCACAGGAGGGTGGCGGATAGTGCACGCGTTCAACAAATGTAACGCTGCAACGGCACTGGCCCAAAAGCCGATACCAAGGAAGGACGTCACCATAGATGGTGTGGCAAAGAGTACCATCTTTTCGTCCATGGATCTGCTGGATGGATTCTATCAGATCCTCACGCGTGAACGGGACATCCCGTACACAGCAGTGAGCACCCTCAGTGGTATGCTCTGGGAGTGGCTAGTGATGTCACAGGGATAAGTAACGCCCCTGCAACGTTCAGCAAATGTGTGACGAATCTGTTGCGGTCGGTTCGAGACTTCGCACCGAGTTACTTTGAAGATGTCTTCATCCATAGCAGGGCTATTGATGGAAAGACGGAAGTAGAGGCTCACAGAATCCACGTCCAGAAGGTTCTTACGCTTATGCGAGAGCGTAAGTTGTATGTCAACCTCAAGAAGTGCATATTCGTAGCGAGCGAGATACCACTTCTTGGCTGCATCGTGGGAAAAAAGGCGCACTCCCTGATCCGGAAAAGATCAAGGCGATTAGTGACTGGCCTGTGCCAGTCGACGTCAAGGGACTCCGATATTTCCTTGGCTAAGCAGCGTACTTGCACAAGAACTCTCGCACTTACGCCTATTTGACCGTTCGTCCCTCTCGACTGCTAATAAAAAACGAGAGGTGGTCATGGAGCGCTGAGTGTCAGCACTCTTTTGAAGGCATTAAGAAAAGCTTGGTGCAATCGCCTGTGTTGGCGATTCCAGATCAGGATAGACCATTTCATGTGGTCTGTGACGCCAGCCATTTGCAATCGGCTGCGCTTTAATGCAGTACAACTCAGAAGGCGTTGAGCGCGTCGTCTGCTATCAATCGCGTCAGCAGCAAGCAGCTGAGCGTAATTATTCAGTGCATGACAAGGAACTTCTTGCCTTGAAATTTGCACTGGCTAAGTTTCGGGTATATCTCTCAGGAGATAGGTCCTTCATCGTTTGTACCGACCATGCGTCATTACGCACGGCCGTAAACAGTCCACACCTCTTGCAACGAATGGCGAGGTGGCTGTCTTTCTTCGCGGAGTACAACTTCTCCGTCGTATTTAAATCAGGACGACTTAATGTCGTCGCTGATGCTCTTTCGCGTCGAACCGATTTCGAGCCGACTGCTCAACCCAACAGTAGGGGTGATCCCACTGCATCGACATTAACAGTGAGTATTCCGTCGTCGGATCTGCTCGATGACGTGCGAAAAGCATACACAGAAGATGAGTATTTTCTGCGATCGATGGACTATTTATCTAATCCATGCAGTCAAGCTTTGAAAAGCTTGACGTCTCAATACCGCTCTTCAACCGAACGGTATTCGGTTCGTGATGGACTGCTGTACTATGCAGCAGTCAAAGGAGACACACCTCGTGTCATCGTTCCTGCTCATGATGATTTGCGATTGCGCATCATGTATGAGTGTCACGGTGCCCCAACAAGTGGGCATCGCGGTAAAGAAAAGACTTACCTCACGGTGAGTCGTGACTTCTAATGGCCCCGCCAGTATGAGTTTGTGTGCAAATGCGTCCGCGCTTGCGAAGTTTGTAAACGGGTAAAGCCTAGCCCTTCATCCCGCGCACCCTAACAGCCTCTTCCGATTCCGGCTGAGTGTTGGCAGTCCGAATCGATGGACTTCGTCTTCGGGTTTCCTAAAGACGTTCACATGAATACTGTTATTCTTGTGCTTGTTGATCGGTTCAGCAAGACGGTACATCTTGTTGCTGTACAGGAGTCAATCACAGCCCAGGTTTGTGCTCGTGTCTTCATCGATACTATCTTCCGAATTCACAGGTTTACCCGTGAACTCGTGTCTGATAGGGACCCCCGCTTCACAGCGGAGTTCTGGCGACCCGTGTTCCGTTCACTCGGAACACGTTTGAAGATTTCAACTTCTGACCATCCCGAAACAGATGGTCAGACGGAACGCGTCAACCGCGTCCTCGAAGAGATACTTCGAGGGTATGTCCACTCGTTTACGAGCTGGAGTGAGTTCTTACCGATGGCGGAATTCGCCATCATCAACTCGGTGCACGCGTCTACAACGCTTACACCGTACTTCGTGAATGGCCTACGTCATCCACTTTTACCTGCCTTCTTAGAGTGTGACTCTAGCGTAAGGGGGGGGTGAACTCGCTCGAACAAAAACCGATCTGGTTCTTGCTCATCACCTGTCGACAATGGTGTCGACGTGATGGATGCCGATGTCGGTGGGATCGATGTCGATGATAACGATGAAGACGATGCTGGCATATTCAGCATCGCTAATGACCGTTAAAGTGAGGACGATGATACCCTCACTGGTGAAGACAACGTTCTTTCAGCAGTGCACACGAAGCGCACTGCTGTTGACAAGGATGACACAGCAGAGGAATTTCTACTGACTCGCGAAGCGGTTGTCCGCTTCGTTCAAAACTCTATTGCAGATAGACAGACAGAAAAGAAACGCAGACAAACATGGAAGAACAAATGTTCTTTCATTTGATGAAGGAGACCTTGTTTTACTGTCTACAGTAAACTTACCGAAACACGCGGTGACAAACGTGGGCAGCAATAAATTACTGCCCAGGTACATCGGTCCATTTCGTGTCTTGCTCCAAATGGGCAACACATACACGATTGAACTGCTTCATAAGATGCGTGCGCATCCTACGTTTTACGTCGCTTCGTCTCCGCCCGTACTATCAGTACGAGCCCGTTTCGAGTGCGAAGAACACATCCGCGGTCGAGAGCCGAGACCACCTTCGAGTGGTCCCGTTTCAACGAGCCAGTCTGGTCGACTAGCGAAGCGACCTGTTCACGCATTTCAGCGATGTTTCGACGAGCTACAGCCAGCTCATCACGAAGAGAATGAGTCGAACGTTCGTTCTCAAGTTGCGCGAACGCAAAAGCGGCACGATCGTCCGAACGATCGTGCGTTAGAGAATTATAATTATCCCTCACAAGATCACCAAGCCCATAACGCCGAGTCCGTTCTTGAGCCAGGTCATCTTGCAACTGTTCCGTTACACGGTTCAGCTCTTGAACATCAAGCTGATCCGACTCTCGAGCCGGATCGGCTGTTCCCGCTGCCACCACATCCTTTGGTGAACTCAGGCGGTGGTCCACGCTTCCTAGTGGAGCCTATTTTGAACCACCGCGACGTGAATGGCGTCCGGACGAGTTACCTCGTCCGCTGGAGTGGCTATCCACCGGCCTGGGACATCTGGGAGCCTCGTGCCCAGCTGATTGATGATGTCCTTGGTCTCGTCGAGCAGTATGACGAGACCCACCCGTTGCGTTTGAAAAAGGGCCGTCGGAAAACGACCTCCCCAAACGCGAGTACAGGGATTGCAAGGTGTCAATCCCTTTGGCCATCTTGGAAGAGATGCGCGCCCTCCAGTAGGGATCATTAGGGAGGTGGGTCTCCCTAGGGACACGGTTGGAGTTGTCCAGGCAACCTGGACACGAATCACCCCACGAGAGACAGGGTAATCCGGCCTCTCTTAAAAGCCGGTGCAACTTGTATCGCGCCCCGACGGGGTTGCGTTTCTCAAACCTGATGCGAGCTGCATCAAGTTTGGCGAGCCAATCCTTACGGCCAATGCACTCGATATTGTGGATGAGGGCATTCCATCCCTGCACCAAAGCCCTTCCGTCTCAAATGCGGCTGCCATTGTACCACCGATGTTTGAAGAACGCATCAGTGAAAAACTTTTTCTCAGCAGGGATAGTTTCTGTGCTGGAATCAGGTGGGCAAATCTTCCTGCAACCGAACAACGGGATTCGACCTCGATCGGTAGTCGTGCCGGCCAACCGGTCCGACTCTCTGGATGGTGGCATCCACGGAGACTCCACTTGGGGAGCGTGGCACAGGACATTTCGGTCCCTGGCCTCTCGATTGTGCCAGCGTGAGCACTGGCACCAGTGTTACCCCGATCCCTTAAGTTACTTCGCTCGTGGTGATGTAAGGGAGCATCACCACGATCTCCACGCGTCCTATCGTTAGACGGACTTGCGTGAGGCGGAGACTCATCGGAATAATCACTCGATCCGAAGATCTCGGTCGTGATACTGCCGCGCTGACCAGAGCCAGTCAGCCTGGCTTTTGCAGCGTCCACCCCGGGTGATCCCGAGGCGTAAGGAGTCGCCTTCAAATCGGATGCAGCATCCGACTCGCCGGAATAAATGAGCTCTATCTCAGACTCGTCCGGATTACGATTCGAGATACCCGCTGCAGACGCAACAGATGTACCTGTCGCACGTGGTGACTCACCACGTGGAGGATTCACGACAAGAGGCGACGAATCGCCTGTTGCTGAGGCGTGAGAGGCACTTTCCGCGGCCGCACGCATGCTTGCAGCCGCTCTTCTCGCTGCTGCAGTAGCAGATCGCGTGGTTTTAAAACCATGCGTTAAATTGGCAAATGAATGGAATTTGATCAACAAGTGATCCCTTTCCCAGGGTGATCCAACGGTGGTCGCCCTGTCCCGATCAATTCTAATTCAATCAACGGGTTATTGATGGTTAAGGGGGGGGTGATGTAACGGGGTAGCCCGTTGCATGAAATCAACACCAAACGGTGCCAATTGGAATATTGTCTAGTATGACAATATTCTACCGATATTATCCGAGATGGATAATATTGAAGGAATATTATCCCCTTTTGGATACTGTTCATGCGCTGCTCCAAGATTGGTTGATATAAGACATGTCAACCATAGATTGCCACCAATCGCTGCTTGACGCGCGCAATGAGCGGTGAGCAGGTTGTCGTCATACGACGGCGTAGTTTAGTAGAGTTAGATAAAGACTGAAGTTATATTGATAGCTTAACTATACTAAATACAGTTCTCTTTTTACCTTTACTTGACCGAGTCGTTCAAGTAGATTAGCTTCCTCTGCACGTACTAGTGTACGTGAAGTTTCGCGGCACCCCAAACGAAGGGTGCTGTAGCGGAGCTACACAGCTCCTTAAGTCAGAGGAAGACTTAACGCTCTACGAGCAACTTAGTTCCAAAGAATTAACGACTTTACGAGTCAGCAAGCTTTACAGCTTCAGATCCCTGTTCCAGGGGACCTAACGATTCAGTGAATCGACAGCACTTAGTGCTCAAGAGTAGCTACCTCAAGGAGGTGTTGCTAACTCTTAGTGATCAGAGATCAACGATCAAGACGGCTCGCAAGCCACGCGTCTTTCAGATCAAAATGGGAACTGATTTTATTTAATGTTAAAGCCTA